GACTGTCAACATCAAGTTTTCTCCTTGAAGATTGTCAGTCGGGGGCTATCATCATAATAATGGAGTGTGATTTTTTATCAATTCAATTTGCTTGCTCGGTTTATCATTGCCTTGTTTGGTTTTTTCTACTTAGTCTGCGAGGACTGAAAGTTTTTAATAGCTTCTTTGGGTTTTAGGCTCAACAAAGCTTGATAAAAGCTTTTAAGAAATCAAAGACTTGGCTAGAACTATCAAGCACAGCATAAATACACCAGTATTGTACAAATTGAGCCTCCATTTGCTACATTTATACTCAGTCAGAATCAGTTCTTTCATCATCAGAGTTATTATTGCTCGGCTGAAGGTCGTTGTTGCGGAATTGCTCTACAACATCACTTGCAATCTTGTCAGCCGCACTTTGAGCATTACTGATAAGATCAAGAGCAGCTTCTTCGCTTGTCCCGTCTGCAAAGCCATCAATGGCGTCAATTTCAATCCTCGGGTACAAGGATTTGGTCATCGCCAATGCCATACTAGCTCCCATACTTCCAGCTTTCTTGATATTCTTGAAGTATACATCCGGTGCTACTCTCAGCTTGTCAAAGATTTCGGTTGCGTCAAATGCACTCGGACCACTGTCATTAAGGAACATAGCTTGGACAAGTGGTGTAGCGACATTGGCGACTTCGTCTATTGCTCCTTCAAGCTTCTTGATCTTACCAACCAGGACATCAAACTGAGCTTGAGATTTGATTTTACGGTCTACAAAACACATTTATAATAAGAATCTGCTGCATTAAAGAGAGGACAGTTCAAATTGTCAGCTGGCAGTACCTTCAACCTCCTTCAAGGCTGAGTCCCTTTCCGCAGCAAGTTCTACCTTGTCTTCTTTCAAGGCTTCAATCTGTTTCTCCATTTGTGCCATCCTGGTAGCTTGTGCTGTTTGAAATCCAAATATTTGAGGATACAGCTATGATAGCATAAATTAATGGGACAGATCTAGAAGATTACCTTTTGATGAACCACTCAGCTCGAAGTTTGAATCCTGGAGCTGGGCAATTCGGTCCCTTAACTCCTTCTCTGTCTTTTTGGCGTACTCCTTGGCCTCATGCAGCTGGTCCCTAACTGCTTCAAGAGTTCCCAAATGAGGAACCAGCTTTTCCAAAGTTGTAGTCTTGGCCTCATTGCGAAGATGGATTCTCTGCATGATGGATCATGGTTCAGTTCTGCTAAAGAGAGAACAAAGTTATTAAAGGCGGTCACCCGGAAGATTTACATTTACAATGCAAGTGGCTTCTCCAAGTGCTTTCTTCAGCTGGCACACTTCCTCATCTTCTTTTTGACGATTTATAACGATGCCGGCAACTTGCGAGTTCTCGTCCCACCATTTGAGCAAGATAGGAGGACGGGAGTCACTAGCTACCTTTATGCGGAGAATTTCTTCTTCGTCGCCGCCTGGTGGACCTGATGTATTCCCAAGACATTAGACGAACAAGCTGGAGTTATTCAGAACGGCATCACTCGAGAAGATGAGTTACCTGAGGATGTGCCTGGCTGAGCGTGAGGGGATCCTTGCTCTTTATCTGGAGACCCAATCACTGAGTCATTACCAACTTTTGGTCCTTGAGAAGTTGTCTGTGCTTCAGCTTCAGGAATCTCTTGATTTAGATCTACATCCTTGATTTTGGTCCTTTAGATCTACATCCGACTGGTTTCCAGTCGGGGGCTCTCTGGTTGTTGCAGTTTCAGTTGCTTCCGACTGGTTTCCAGACGGCGGCTGGTCACTCGGATCGGCCTTGTCATCCGAAGCATGGGCACCAGTCGGCTGGCTTTCGGCAGTCGGCTGGTTTTCGACAGTCGGCTCAGCGTCTTTGGATGAATTTGGTTCTGTCACAGCCGGATCAGGATCTTTTCCAGTTGGATCTATGTCGGATGGTTTCCTGCAAAGTGTCCTTTCGATATTTAGCATAATTTCTATGAGAGAAGCATGCCGAGATAAAGTGGTATCGAGAGGTTTATACCTGGAAGATGTTCTAATCTTTGGAATTTGACGGCCAGCCAGTTTTTTCCTGGGCATGGTATGCTTTGGGAGTTTGTTGGGAGTGCCCTTGTCCTCAGATTTGTTGCTGTCATCGCCCTCATCATCATTAAGCACCAGCTTTCTCTTACGAGGACCTGTCTTCCCAGCCGGTTTGGAGGTTTGAGGTTGTGGGTCTGACCTGATTGTCGGCCCTCCACTTCCTTGAACGGTGTGCTGACGAGGTGACCGGCGCTGAGTGATTGGGGGATCAGACTTTATCAATGCATATTCCTGAGTAAGATGTTTTCTACGGTTAGTCAACTCGACATGAAGACAAGATTATGCTTTGGTCATGGGTTGAAGATTTCAGATACATACCTGCGGAGGCGGATTGAATGCGTTATATGGCACAACTGGCAGCTGGTGTGAGTAGCTGACGACAATAGCATTCGAGAATATCTTGTACATCCTCTCCTTCATGATCTTAAAATCCAGAGAATCTGGGTCTTCACGGTTTGGATCGTGCTTGCCGTCAAATTCAAAAGCTGTGCGGGATCTTTCTTTGATGGGAGCCAATCGGCACTTAATGAAATGCCGAGTGATTTGCTCTCCCTGCAAGCCTTGTTCTTTGAGTTTTAGCATGCGTTCCATCAACTCCAAGGCTTGGGCCGCTTCATCTCCAATCGGAAGAGAGTTCCAGGTATCCTGGTACACCGGAGGAAGACAGGAGTACTCGGGAAGAGCAGGCTCAGGATTCTGAACATAAAACCAGTTCGCATGCCACCCCTTGTTTGAGGTCTTGAAGGGCATAGAGAAATACTTCTGGCTCAGAGTTCCCCTTAGCTGAAATCCTGCCCCTCCGACTACGCATGGCTTGCTCTTGTTCGGTTGGGGCTTGAGAAAGAAGATCCGGCGAAACAGAGCGAAGTGGGGTCTGATTCCCAAAAAGGCTTCACAAACATGGATGAAATTGGCGATATGGACTATGGAATTTGGGTTTAGGTGATGCAAGCTGATTCCATAAAAGTTTAAAATCCCGCGGAAAAATTTCGAGGTCGGAAGAGCGAAGCCGCCATAGAAGAAATGCGAGAAGACTACGATCTCATGTGTATCGGGGGTCGGAAAAGCCTCACCGCACGCTGGCCGCCACCCGATGATCTCCTTGGCTGGGAGAACGCCGTGCGCCACCATCTCCTTCAGGTTCTCTTCCGTTACGTCGGACGCCGCCCATTGGCCTTCGAAGCTTTCCTTCTCTTCCGCCATCGATTTTACCCGAATGCGCTGATTTGATTCGAGGGATGGCTGGGGAGAAGTGAGGGATTGAGGCGGTGGATCACGGGAAGGGTTTTGATGCACTTTTCGAAGGTGGATTTGAGTGGAGTGGTGAACCCTAGTTCGCCGGCGCAGTTCTGCACTGTAGCAAGGAGTGGGGAAAATGGCGAGAGTTCCGGCGGGGAAGACGAAGCGTCGCTTGGATCTCGGGATTTCTTGTTAAGGGTATCGGAGGTGCAAATGGGCCTAGGCCTGAACAGTACTTCAGCCCAATACTTTTAACAGCGTGGCCCATTGTGTTCCTTAGGGACTTAGGCATATTTTGCTTTGGCAATATTATGCGCACAATAGTGTTCAGCCCAATGCTGATAAAATCCTTTTTATGCGGTCATATAATTCTTTGGAATTATTGCAATGCAAATTAAAAGGTGCCCGACAGAAAGGTGTTATACTGCTTTTTGTTAGCTTTATTAGGCTACAAAAGCTGTCTGGGTTAATTTGGAATGACTTGTTTTTATCATAGTCACTTCCTTGGTATGTTATATACCTATTTTCATTATGGTAAATAGTCATAGCCTAGGCTGTTAGACTTATTCATTACCATAATTTTTATAATACCTGGTGGGTAATCTTTAGAGTTTTTATTCGGATGCCTGTCAAGTGTGTTCATTCGTGAACCTTTTAGAGTGTTAACCACTCGGATTTCTTTTGTTGTGGCTAAAAAGCAGTCGGCTAGAATGCCTCTTTAGGCGCCGCATATGCTTTTGTCATATGATGCATGGTTGTGCTATTATTTTGTTCTCAACTATATGTTTAGTTTGTTAACTAATCACATAGTTGGGGGCTACACCTAATTAGGTGCATCTATTCGATGCACCATATTCTTTACCTTTTCGCCCTTTACAGTCTTCGTCTTCGCTACTCGGCGGGCCTTGGCATGAAAAGTTTGAAGCACTCGGATTATTTTTGAGATGGCTACGATGGATGACTGCAAAGGTCTCGGGGGCTACTGTGGAGATTATGGATATCCCATATCTACACGGCGACGGTATTTGGACTAGGTACAGGATACCTAATGTAGATAGAATATCTTATTTGTATCTCGGGTTTGTTTCTTAACTTGTGTATCAAGGAAACACCCTGAGACTTAGTCGGTTACGACTATATTTCATCTGTATTTGCATATTCCGTTAGGGATATAGATTATCTTTTGTAAAACGGACTCTTCCCCATATATAAGGGGGGTCCGGGTGCCTCTAGTGGCAGAGGTTGGATTTTCTCCAAATCATACAATCAATAATACACTCGTCGGATTCATCCCCGGACAGGAGTAGGGTATTACTTCTTTTATAAGAAGGCCTGAACCTGTATAAATCCTTTGTCTTCAAACCCATACACTTTCCTAGCTTGATAGCCACCCCCTTTCATTATTGCCGAAATCTAGTTTCGACAAGGTGTATTTCAGGGCGCTCTCACGATCGTAGGACGTGTCCCAGAGTCACAGCCCAAACAAATTCGGACATGAATTGGGCCTGCGATACCTGGGCCGGGCGACGCAAATCCGACTCGGTCTCACGGTTTCGCGCCGAGAAAGGCCGAAGCACACTAGCGTCTTTTGGCGATCTTAATTAAGGCGCCAAGCTAGCCGGCCGGTAACGCGCGTAGTCTGCAAATTCTGCATCTCCGCGACGAGAAAGGAAGAAACAAATACGCCGGCGAGGCGACGACAATGACAAGCCAGCCGCACGCCGGCGAGGATGGCGGCGACCGCCTGAGCGCGCTACCCGACTGCCTCCTCCACGCAATCATGTCGTTGCTCCCGGCGCGACACGCCGTGCAGACATGCGCGCTGTCGCGGCGGTGGCGCGACCTGTGGCGCTCCATGCCATGCCTCGACATCGTCGGCGACGAGTTCACGTCGTCGACCACCGGCAGCGTGAGGTGGGACAAGTTCGAGAGCTTCGCAACCAACCTGCTCCTCAACCACGACGCCCCGTTCCTCGACAGGTTCCGGCTTCGTCTACCCAGCTCATGGCACGTCAGGGGAGGTGTACAGCAACGCGACATCAAATCACACTCACAGCCCGACGTGCGACAGATCGAGCGATGGATCAACCGCGGCGTCCGGTTCTACCGACCCGTCGAGCTCGAGATCACCATCGGCGTTGGTTATGACCTCAAGCTTCCAATCCTCGGCGCCGTCGTCTTCTCCCACCGACTGAAATCATTGCGTCTCTCTCGCCTTGTTCTGGACCGCGGCTTCGGCTACACCATCCGTTCGTGGTGCCCGGTCTTGGAAGCCATGGAGCTCAACTCCTGCATCTTCGAGTTCGACGAGATCACTGGCAATGCGCTCAGGAGTTTGGCCATTGATGGCTGCTCCCGACGTGGTCTGCAGGTGCCTGATGATGCATTGTGTGTCACGGCGCCAAAGCTTACCTCCCTTCGGCTCAAGTTTTCGATACATGATTTCAGCGTGTTTTTGGTTGATCGAATGGGTTTCCTCGTTGATGCGTCGATCTGTAAAATGTTTTCGTCCACGACCAACTTTGGAAACAATGTATGCAACTTGTAGAAGTCGAATTAGAATCCATGTCCAGTTTGCTTGGGAGTCTACTCAACGTGACAAAGCTTAATTTGTCCTGCATTCAGCTATCGGTATGCGTAACCCCTCTTGATGCTTGAATAATATTACTTGTTCGCTTCAAGATTTAGATGGAAATGTACTACTCCTAATTAATTACTAATCTCTGAATTGACATATGCACCCAAGTTTCCTTCTGTGTATTAAATTCCTTTCGGCTGCGCTTCAATTTGTCTGGAGCCTCACTGTTACTCCCTCCATTTCAAGTTGATTAAGTTTGTAGATAAATATAGTAATATTTATGACACTAAATTAGTTCCATTAAATCTATAATTGAATATATTTTCATAATATATTTGTCTTGAGTTAAAAATATTACTATTTTTTCTATTAACTTGAATCAATTTTGACTTTGATCAAAGTTTTTTTTTCTGAGGAGAACAACGGCAGGAGATCTGCCGGAATTTAATTAGAAGGAAGAAAAAACAGTACAAAACCAGTTCAGTCCAGAAAATTAAAAGAAAACGGTACAACAATACACAGCACGAAACAAAAGAAACTATGGAAGCCTAAAAGCCGAGCAACGGAGATCAAGATCTTGTTTTACTATATATGCCACTGCTCTCTCTAAGATTGAAATGTTGTTGAAAATTCTCCTGTTTCTTTCTAACCAAACATTCCACTAAGTGGTAAGCAGAGCTCCTCTCATCGCCTTCTTTTGCTCCTTCGATCCCACGCAATCGATTTGGGCCCACCAATCAGAGGTTCCAACAGAGAGGCCAACATTGTTTGTAGGTAAATGTTGCCAGGAAGTAACTAGAGACGAAACTTCCTTGAAGAAGGGGCATTCGCTAAACAGATGATTAGTGTCTTCAAAGGCGCTTGTGCATAAACTACAAATCCAATTGCACGGCCAGTGTCTTCTCAACAAGTTTTGAGCCATAAGAGTTTTCTGGTGGAGGACTAGCCAGCCAAAAAATTTAAGTTTCGGCTCAGCCGGCGCCTTCCAGAGCGAAGAGAAATCTAAGGAAACAAAAGATCCTTGATATTGGAAAAGATAAGCACTCTTACTTGTGTAAACTTTGGATTCATTCCAGTTCCAAGAGATGTCATCAAGACGCGGGGTAAGCAGGACTCCCTGAAGCATGCTCCCAAAGTGAACAAGTTCGTGGATTTCTTCTACTGATGTTATTTGCCTGAAAGAGATCAGCCAGTTATTGTTATGGAGCTCTTGATGGACGCTTTTTTGCTTTCTTTTTGCCAACTTGAAACACAGTGGTGCAATGTCTTTTGGGCTGCTGTTTTGTAGCCAATTGTCATGCCAAAAGCTTGTTTTTGCGCCATTACCTAGCTCAATTGTCGTTGCTGCCTGAAACAACCTTTTATCTGTATCATCACAGGGAACGCTCATGCCAGCCCATGGTTTGTTTTCATCCTTCCAACCGAGCCAAAGCCAACGAAGACGAAAGGCTCGCGAAAACCTCTCTAAATCCAGGATGCCCAAACCACCCAAAACTTTTGGCTTACACACCGTCTGCCAATTAACTAAACTGCTGCCTGGGTTGGTTTTGTCAGGGTCTTCTCCTTTCCAAAGAAAAGATCTCCTAAAGCGATCAATTCTTTTTATCACCCATTTGGGCACTTGCAATGCGGTGAAGTGATGAATTGGCATAGAGCTTAGGACCGATTGGACCAGCGTTTTCCTTCCGGCTGAAGTAAAGAACCTCCCTTTCCAGCCAGGAATTCGCAAGCCAATTTTTTCGATTAGCGGTAGGAAGTCGATTTTCCTTAGCTTTCGGATATGGAGTGGCAGGCCAAGGTAGCGACAAGGGAATTGCTTTACCATTCCAGGGAAATTTGCAAGAAGAGATACGAGGTTGATGTTTTCACATCTGATCGGGTAGATCTCTGTCTTACTGATGTTTGTGTGAAGGCCAGAGGTTTGCGCAAAGAAAGTTAGGAGTCTCATAAGCACCGATAAGTCTGAAGCGTGAGGCTTCACAAAAACTGCCACGTCGTCTGCATACAGGGAGCACCTGAATCTGTCAAAACTCCCACCCATTGGAGAGAGAAGTGATGCATTTTCAGCCGCCTTAAGAATTCGATGAAAAGGTTCCATTGCTAGGATGAACAACATCGGCGAGAGCGGATCCCCTTGTCTAAGGCCTCGGACATGGTTTATTGATTGCCCCGGAGATCCATTGAGAAGCACTTGGGAGGAAGAGGTTGCAAGTAAATTGGAAATCCAGTTTAGCCAACGAGTTCCAAATCCAAACTGATGAAGCACATCAAGAAGGTAGGGCCAACAAACCGTGTCAAAAGCTTTGGCGATGTCAATTTTGATAAACAGACTCGTTTTCTTCGTTCTATGTAAATATTGTACCATGTTTTTTACGAAGACGAAATTATCATGGATAGCCCTTTTTCGAACGAAGGCACTCTGGTTGGGGGAGACAAGCTCACACAGTCTTGGCGCTAGCCTGTTTGCCAAAATTTTGGAAATTATCTTAGAGAAACTATGGATTAGGCTTATCGGTCGATACTGTTCAGCTCCCAAAGCATCTTCTTTTTTGGGAAGGAGACAAATGAAGGCTGAGTTTAGTTCCTTTAGCCGCAAAGTGTTAAGATCAAAAAACGATCTTACTGCCGATAACAAATCTTCTTTAATGATCTCCCACGCTGATTTGAAAAAAGCACCAATGAACCCATCCGGCCCCGGAGCCTTCTCGGGTGGCATTGAGAAAACAGTTTTCTTCAGTTCTTCTTCTGTGATGTCTTATTCTAAATCGCCAAGGTCCAGGGAGAGCAAATCCATCATGTTCCAGTTAATCCCTGACGTTCTTTGAAAACGAGTTCCAATTCTTTCCTTGAAGAAACGCAGCAGTTCCTCTTCTTTGTCTTGTGCTGAAATTGCAATCCCAGATGGCGTGTGCAAGGATTGAATAAAATTTTTTCTTCTTCTGGAATTGGCCTTGATGTGAAAAAATTTTGAATTAACATCTCCCTCTTTGATCCAGGTCTGCCTAGAGCGTTGTCTGATCTGGATTTTGTTTAGAACTGATAAAGCCAGAATCCTATTTTTGAGGTTAGACACCAGGAGGCGCTCATCGTCTGACAAGGTCCTAGTTTCCTGAGCTACGTCCAGCTGAAAGACCACTTCAGATGCAACCGCAAGTTGTAACTTAATGTCACCCACTTGGCTCCGACTCCATCCCTTTAAATCTCGAGCGAGACGTCGAAGTTTGATGCGGAAAATAGCTAGGCAATTAGTGGCAAGGATCGGCCGTTGCCATGAGTCTTGCACTGCTTCCAAGAACCCAGGAATTTTGAGCCAAAAAGATTCAAATCTGAAGCTTGGGAATTTCGATCATTTCTCATTTCCTACCAGAAGGAGAGGCGCATGATCTGAACATGCTGAAGACAAAGGATACAAATTGGAACCCTCAAACATTAAATCCCAGTCAGTTGTGACAAAAGCACGGTCGATCTTGGTTTAAGTTGGGTTTGCACCTTCCCCTGCCCAAGTAAAACGACGACCAGGGAGTTGAAGCTCCTTAACCTGAATTTTGTCTAGCAGACCACGAAAGCGCTGCATCATTCGTCTATTTAGGCGATCGTTGTTTTTGTCAGAGGCTTTATAGATGAGATTAAAATCACCGATGATCAGCCATTCAGATTTCATGGAGGGCTGCAGGCTCTCTATCTCTGAGAGAAAAACCACTTTGTCAGCTTCTAGTTGAGGCCCATACACAACTGTGATTGACCACTGTAGCCCCTCTTCTCGCATGGTCACAGTTGCAGACAGAGAGTATTGTCCAAGGATAACATCAGAAGGAGAAAAGAAATTTTCATTGCAAGCTAGCAACAGACCACCCTTGGTGCCGTCCGCCGGAAGGGCCACACATTGCCGCACAAAATTTTGGCCCAAACTGCTGAGAACAACACGATCATTTAAAGAGGCAATCTTAGTTTCTTGGAGACAAACAATAGTAGCACCATATTATTGCAAAATAATTTTCACGGCGTCTTGCTTCGCCTTTGAATTCAGGCCCCTAACATTCCAATTAAACAGGTAGACATTGTCTTGTGACATTGAAACATGAGCTGCTGCAACTACATCTTTGGTTGATGAGGAAAGGAACAAAGCTTTTGCCGAAACACAACCAGCCAAACTGGAAGAAACACAGGCAAAAGGTGACGCTACAACTCTGCTTTAACACAGCAAGCAACAGGCAGAAGTAGGTCAAGCACAAAAGGCTCTTCATGGGTGTTGTGCAGCCCATCTTCATCCTGAGGCGTTCTGCTCACAGGGGCGCGACCGCCACCTTCTTCTTTGCAGCCTTCAGACGGATGGTCTTGCATCCCCCCTTCTCCACGAGCTCAGCGATTGTCTTCAAGGAGGATGGAGAGAGAGGCTTCCTGTAGCGCTGCAAATAAATCTTTTTGATGTTATCATCAAAGGAAGCATGATCATCCAAAATGCAAAACTTATTTGACAGGATTTCTTGAGCAAGAGTTTCAAGTTTTGCTCCCGCCCGCTTCTTGCGAAGGAGGCGCTTACTGTGGCGTTGCGCCGAGGAGATGGCAGGAATTGTCACCTTAGCATAGCTTGGACAACGAGCATTGACGTCGGGAGCAGGTAGCAGCGGCTGCTGAAGAGGAGTCGAGAGAGCAGAGATGAACTCTTCCACCCTGTTGCCCTGCCTCGCCACCAGCCCGGCTTGAGTCTGCACATCCGTCGCCACCCCATTGGTATGCGGAGTCCCCTGTTCTGCAAAAGAAGAAAGTACAAAAACAGGAGAAGCCACACGGGGAGGAGCATTGTCTGGTGAGTAGATGGAATGCTGCACGGACGCCTCATGCAACATTGGGTCAAGATGACTCTCCAGAACGGAAAGGACATCTCCCTGCCCCTCACTTGGCTCCCTAGACCGACCGCTTCTGCTACGAGGACCCGAGCGTTCCCGGTTGCGCGGGCGCCCCCTGTCTTCATTGCCCTGACGCCGGCCGTCATCTCTCTCTGGCTCTCTGCTGCAGCTTGAGGATCGGCGCCCAAGCCGATCCCACAGGGAGCGACTCCTGTGATGGGACCTACTTGGCTTGTCTCTGTCTTTGTCGTCGTCATCATCAGTCGGCCCTCTTGAAGGATCAGGCTCAGCTCTACAAGGCAGAGGATACTCTCTATATCGAGTACCGTCATCTTGGACATCATACTCCCACTTATAGGCATGGGCTTTGCGAGTGAGGAGGTCTTCAAGAGTATCCACATGAACGAGGACATTGTAGGTCCACCCCTTCTTTGTGTCTGACGGCGGCGGGTTGCGAAGCGGCTCCAAGTCCGGCAGAGGAATGTCCGTGGACAGACCTTCCTCATCAGCAGAAGTGATGGCGAAAGTGCCACCACGAGGGATTGCCCTGGGCTCATCAGTCCAAATCCAAAGATCATAGGTGCAGCTGTAGTTGCGCCGGCGGGAGTATTCTTCAACATATTGAACCGAGCACTTGCGCCCGATTATCTTGGTCGCGGCTTCTTCAGTGCGGCCATTGGGATGCCCTCAATGCAGATGCGAGCGCGGTAGCAAAACCGTGCCTCGGTACCATGCAGGCTCTCGTCCCAGGGACGAAAGAGGTACACTCTGCCAGAGGCAGTAGAGAGCCTGGGCTAACGAAGAATTGCATCGTGGTCACTCTGATTTGAACAAGTGATGAAGAAGTCTTCCGGGTGAAACTTGGTGAACTGAATGTCAGCGCACCTGATGCGAAAAGCTGAGCGGACATCGTCTGCAAAAGTGTTGAGCTCAACCTTTCCTTCATTCGCCCCCACTTGCCAAGCCACAAGAGAACGGGCTGAGAAGCGCTCTCTGTTCCTCTCAATTTCACCAGTGGCAGACATCACAACGGAATCAAGAAGAGGACGAGCGGTTAGATCATCCATGGCGAGAGGATTGGAGGGAGTGGGGATGGAGCGGGGAGGGAAGCGAAGTGGAGCCAAAGGGGGGAAAGCTGCAGTGGATAGCCCATGGGGAACCGAAGGGGATTTATAGTCAGCTTTCTTGCTACAGCTGGAAGCTCGATGACCGAAATTCAAACATCGCCAACAGCGAAGAGGATCTCTACAATCAAACACTTGATGCTCTGTGCTCAGACACCAGAAGCATTTACCTTCCATATGCTGCAGGAAGCGCGCCCTCCTTGACTGCAGATACTCTTTGTTGTTGGGAGGATTGAATGCAGAGGATTTTCTCCACCAGTGCTTCCCTCTGACCTCTTTCCAAGAATCTGAATTCACTTGAATGCCTCCTGTACCTTGCCTGGAAGCTGAAAGATTTTGAGAAGACAACTCAACTCTTCGCCCACTCTTGAGGATCTTGAAATCCTTTACAGCTGCAGCAGGCGAGCTTGTAGGCTTCATAGGGGAGGATGGTGGCTGCAACGAAGTTAAGAGGGAGGTACTAGCAGCTGGAGGACGAAGAGGAGCGGAGAGCACCTCAGAGTAAAGGCGCTTAAATCCCTGAGCACCTGCTTTCGGCGAACCATGACCTTGAAGGGACAGAGCGAGCGCAGCAGCAGCGCCGGACCCGGGATTGAGCAGATCTGCATTGAGAACCTTGCCTGTGCTGACCTCAACCAAATCTTGAACCGAATCCCCTGGAGAGGAGACAGCCCAAGGTGCAGTCGCCGGCCTAGGGAGCACTGGAGACGTGGTCTGACCCGGGGGGAAAAGCTCTAGGGTTGGGGAAGCTAAGGACGCTGGTGGATCTGAGGGAGAGGAGAAAAACAGGGAGGGCGACAGGGACAGGGATGAGCGATGACGACGATGGCGGGGGTGAGTGTCTGGACTTAAAGGATCTGGTCATGATGTGGATGTGGGGGAGAAAGGGGAGAAGGAGAGAGAGAGGGAGCTCACCGGAGGTGGCCGCCGGAACCGAAGAGGCCGCCGGCGCGGGTGCGTCTAGTCGCCTAACCTGTCGCGAGAGCATCCTAACTCGTCTTTCCTTTCAAGAGTAGAAGTATGACCTGTAAACTTGATCAAAGTTTAAACGATTTATAAACTGAAACGGAGAGAGTAGCTCTATCTATCATATCACTAAGCTTCCAGCTTTTGTTTTCTCTTGTGTAGTTTTTTATATTGCCATTATATTTTTTTTCTTATGTCCCAAAATATATTTATTTTTTCATATTTCTTGGATAATATCCTTTTACTGATATACTATACTTTTTGAGACCTACTTCATAATGTCATACTCAATTGTTCTCCAATTTTATTACAGGAGAAGCATTCTGACAACTCTACAAATGTTCCGACGTTTCACAAACTGACTACCTTGTGCTTCGATGCATGTGATCTGGACAAAAATCTAGATATATTGTTGAGTTTTCTGGAGAATGCTCCTCATATGGAGAAAGCAATATTGCAGAACTGCAAGGTACTAGTTTTCTCTTATTTCTGTTTGTCTTGTTACTCTCCATTTTGTTGGCTACTTGGTTTATCTTCTCACGGTGTTCGTGTGTGATGCTCTCACAGATTCCAAATAATTCGAGAAAGAGGAAAATAATGGCAAGGGCAAATAGGACCCTGATTTCTCCCGAGCACGAAAACGTGACAGTTTTGGCGTTTCAGTACTTTTAAGCTTATCAAGATCGCATATAAAAACGACAATATCAAAGATGTGATTGAACTTTTACTGTGCAATTCGACAGAACTTGAGAACAGCACAATCATCCTCACAAGACATTAAATTGTTTGAGTTGTATTCGCGTGCAGCTTGTTGGTATGTCACTTTTGAATTGTTTTTTACCAATTGTATGCCCAAATGTATACAAATATATAGCAAAATTGTTTGTTTATCCGACATGAAGTGTCCTGGGTGGTTACATTATCATCCATTGTGGGTTGGATAAACGAGAGTGATGACATCGGAATTCCTGTTCCGCCCCACTGCATTTGGTCCGGTCCATTAGTTAGATTCAGCCATAAGTAGGCCCAATTTTCTAGGAATAAAGTTCACCTGTCGTCCCTCAACTTTACCCCAGGTTTGTTTGACATCCCCCATCCATCATCACACTTAAAATTAGGGATCCGGATAGACCTCCAGGGGTCCGGTCAGATCAATTTTGCATTTGAATTTGTCAATATCAGTAGTACCAAATTTGATCGTAAACAGAAATCTCAATCCTTACATCGAACATATCGTGTTTGAGTTACATTTAGGCCATCCTTGATTTTGTTTTTATGGCATGGCTTTGATATAAGCTAGGTTCGATTGTTCACAAAACTTAGTAGCATGTCCTACGTTGTAACGGGCTATAAGTAGCAATGACTATAAGAAGATTAGGGATAAAATATTTGGTAGTTACCTATAAATGCTACGTGTAGGAGCGCGTTGCCTGCCGTGGAGAAGGGGAGGAAAGTAAGACAACTTTACTTTTAACAGTACTACAAATTGTTAAACATAAAATTGCTTCATACATACTACCTTCGTCTCAAAATAAAACAACCTAGTACAACATAAGACACATTCTAATACTATAAATCTGTTGTTATACCATAGTAGGGAAGGAGTATAACATTAGAAATTTAATTGTCCATAAACAAAAATTTTTAGCTGTGATAATGATGTCATAAGTGGGACACCGGGTTATTTTTGCTCTGGATTTGCATTGACTCAGTTCTCCATACCGTGCAAAAACTGCGGAGGCCAAGAACAGCCCGTTTGGTTGGAGAGAGTTTTCAAGAGGGATTGAGGCTACTAAGTGTTTTGTTTGGTTGGGAGACATGGAAATTTTGGTGGGATGAGGATAGAGAATTGAGGAAGGAACTCCCTCCTTTTCAATACCTGGGTAGGGGCAGTTAATTGGGAGGGAATTCCTCCTTTACTTTGTCTAAGCAAATCTCACCCATCCGTTTTTATTACTGATCTAGTCTCCAACTAAACTCCCTATCAATTTCCATCGCCTCTGCCAAACAAGATATTATGATTAAAAATCAAATTCCCATCTTAATTTTATCATCAATTTCCTCGTGTAAACTCCCAATCCCCTTCCCTCGAGTTCCCGAGCAAGCCGGAAACTCTCATCTGATCGGCCACCGTGCGTTCCACGGGTCCAAAGTCCAAACCCTACCGTCTTCTTCCGCGATCTAGCGGTGGCAACGCGCGCGCGCCTGCATCTCTGGAAAGAAAGAAAGAAACAAACAGAGAGGAGAATACGACCCCAACGAACGAACGCCGGCGATGAAGCAGCCGTACGCCGACGACGACGGCGACCGCCTGAGCGCGCTGCCGGACTGCCTCCTCCACACGGTCATGTCCTTCCTCTCGGCGCGGCAGGCCGTGCGGACGTGCGTGCTGTCGCGGCGGTGGCGCGGGCTGTGGCTGTCCATGCCGTGCCTCAACATCGACGGCGACGAGTACCGGCCGGCCACGGCCGGCGGCGGCGGCGGCGCCACCATCACCGAGAGGTGGGAGAGGCTGGAGAACTTCACCACCAGCCTGCTCTTCGCCCACAACGCGCCGTTCCTGGACAGGTTCCGCCTCCATCTCCCAAACTTCCAGCGCATCACGGCTACTCAGCAGCATCACGGGCGGCAGATGGAGAGATGGATCCTCCGCGGCTTCCGGTACCGGCCCGCCGCGCTGGAGATCGCCGTCGGAGTCGCCGCCGTCGCGTTCAAGCTGCCTCTCCTCGGCACCTCCTCGGCTAGCCGCCTCAAGAGATTGCATCTTTCCGGCGTGGTTTTGGACGGCGGCTTCGGCGAGTGCATCCGCTCATGGTGCCCCGTCTTGGAAGCCATGGAGCTCAAGGCTTGCATCTTCGAGGATCTGAAGGAGATCGTCTCCAGCACGATCAAGAGTTTGGCCATTGTTGACTGCAGAAGTGGGCACCATACTGATGCATTGGTTTGTCGAATGGATTCCCTCGTTGAAGCATCGATTAGTGGAACACGTTTCGGATCCGACTTTGACAAGACGACATCCACTTTAATAGGCAGTCTAATCAACGTGAGGGAACTTAATGTGTCGTGGTTTCAGCCAGTGGTATGTAGTATAACCCATCTTGACACATGAACATTACTTATTCGCTTCGACATTCAGATTACTTTTACAGAAATTGTAGGAGAACCACTTTTTCCAAGCTAGTTTCTATCTACTGCACTCCTTTCAATCCTAGATAACTTGATCTACCACAAAAGCACCTTTTTATGCTATACTTTGTTGAACCTGTCTGCTTTTTCATATTGCTATTATAAATTTCTTCTATCTAACAATAATCATTACACTATATATAATGCCTTACCAACTGTGTATGGTCCTATTATGAGGATCCTATATATGATCATGTGATACTCAATTCAGCTCCAATTTATTTCAGGAGTTGAAATATGGTGAATCTGCGAACTTTCAAACATTTCACGAGCTCACTACATTGAACATATATGAATGTGATCTGGGTCAAAATTTACATATATTGCTGAGTTTTCTGCAGAACACTCCTAACCTCAAGAAAGTTATATTGCAGAACTGCGAGGTACTACTTATACTTTCTTTCAGTTTGTTTTGTTACTCTGCTTTCTTGATTTATCATCCTAGAGTGATCCTGTGTGATGCCCCAATAGATTTCAGGTCATTCGAGAAAGAGGAAAAGAACACCCAGGGCAAACAGGAACCAGATTCATTCCAAGCGCAGAAGTCTGATAACTTCCAAGTCTGAGATCTCGAAGATAATGAAGATGACATATGAAGATGACGGTGTCAGTGACCTTATTGAACTTTTGTTGCGCAATTGGAGAAAACTTGAGGACCATACTATCATAATCACCAAGATTTGAGTCTTTTGCATATGGTGTTATCATATGCCTGATTCTTATGTCATTTTGTACTATACTGTGTGTATTTTTACAAATAGTAACTAAAACCATATATATGACTAATGCCAGACTGGTGTGATTAAGGGCATTACCTCCAATGTATGCTAGTATTAACTGATTCCAGTGAGATTCGTAAAATCACTCTTTTATAGTTTCAAGTTGAGAAATTTAAGTAAAACAGCCATTTGATTATTTGATGATGCTCCTCCCTATTGATCAATTGACAGTTGACACTGTTACCATACTACAGGTGCAAGGATTAGCTTCATTTTCTGTTCTGTCATTCCAATCTATTGATTCCTTTCAAAATGATAAGTGCCAATTTGTCAAGTTTTTATCCTAGAAATGCAAATAAACATCTTCATGATGCTCTTGGAATAATCTGTTGTGAGGATAATGTTTTGTGACACTGCTTGTGTTGAAAGTCATTTATTATAAATTGGGGAAGACAAAGTAATTGATTTTCTTGTCCAAATATCGTTGAGCAAACTATAATAGGAGAACTAAACTTTCTCCCTCCATTATTGTAATAACATAGGAGAACTAAACTTTCTCCCTCCATTATTGTAATCATAACCAGAGATCTAAATAAAATACCTTGGTAGCTGGATGAAAACTATTCCATAGGAGAACTAAACTTTCTCCCTCCATTATTGTAATCATAACCAGAGATCTAAATAAAATACCTTGGTAGCTGGATGAAAACTATTCCATGTCAATATGAAGCGTACTTCGAGGCAAACTCAGCAATATTCTTATTCGAGCTCCCTCCTTTCTTCATGGCTTCCTTAGCTTTCTTCATCCACCTATTAGCATTTTTCCTGTACTCTGCCTTCCTCTCACTCTCTAGAACCTCTCTGATGCATCTCTCCACCTCTTCTTTTCTCACCATGCCTTCCTTGTCCCGATGTACGCGTACACCATTTCCCCATGCACTTTCAATGTACTTCGCTGTAGTTGGTTGGTCTGTCCACTGAGGCATCGCTAACAGTGGAACGCCAGTAACAATTGCTTCTGTTGTTGAGTTCCATCCACAGTGAGTTAAGAAACAGCCTGTTGATTAATGAAGAATAATCAGTTTCTACCTGCAGCTTAATTATTTGAAACTGTTTACTGCAGATACTTCCGATAGAATTGACATGATACACACATCTTATCGCCCAAGAGTTGGATTGACAAGATAGGTTACCCATTGGATAATTTGGTTGAAGGCAGTAACTTGAGCTAGGTTTGTGGGATCCAAAATACAGATCTTATGAAAATGACTCAGTATGCCATGTGTAAATAATTAGGGACAGTATGTCCTTGTAGAATTCTATAGCTGCCATTAGATTTTGTAGGATCGAACAGCAAGAACTAAGCCAACCAGAGGGGGGGGGGGTGAATGGTTGTAGGGGTTTACAGATTTAAGTGAAGAAACACTCCAATCAAACTGATCAGTATCTATGCATCAGTTACAACTAGTGTATTCGTGCTTCTGTCTTTCTCTGACAACTACTTTTAACTGTCTCTGCAGCTTATGTAATTTTGAGAGATATATGGTTCATATTTATTCCAATATCTAGAACTTTCAGTCTTCTATTCTCACCATATATCTGTAATCGTAGCCTTCTGACATTAATTCTGTCTCATGAAATACTTGAACTAGTAGTTTAGTGAATGAACTGAAATTAACAGCATTATTACCGATTTGACTCAAAATCTGAGTTGAATATATTACATTTCCACATTTGAATAAAAAATAAATGGGGCCACGAGTAACATTTAACCAGATTAAAGATAGTTGCTAACAGTTGCGTATTTTTGTGAATAAAACATGACTTTTTGTCCCATACCTGTGGCTTTGTGAGATAAGACCTCAAGCTGGGGACACCAAGAAACGATTAGGCCCCTCTCCTTGCACTTGTCACGGAGTTCTTCTGATAGCTTGTGTTCATCACAGGACCTCACGACCCAAAGGAACGGTTTACCGGAATTGCAAAATCCATTGCCCAGCTCATCTAACTGAGTTGGGTCAAGATCAGCAACAGTCCCATAGGAAGCATAGACAACAGAGCAAGGGGGCTGATTATCTAGCCACGCCAAGCAAGGTGAAGTGCTGTCAGAAATGTTGAACCCATAGTTCTTGTTTGGTTGTAAGCGATCGTCATCCAAGTAGAAGGATGGTACGGTCGGACCAATCGTCTTAAAACGCCATGCTGATGCCAAGTAATCTGCCTCCTGATTAAGTAACAACATTGCAGCTATCAAATCTTCTACCTTCTCCAATTCTCTCTGGGGCAAAACAACAAACAGACGAGGGGCATGAGCAGGTTGACTCACCTTCGGCTCCAATTCTTGGAAAGAATTGACGAGCACGTCGTCGGCGTCCTCCAGCCCGTCGAACTGGCCCAGCACCGCCTCCAGGAACGGCGGGTACGACTCCGGCGCCTTCACGAACGACGGCACGTCCTCCGGCCCGAGCTCCACGCTCAGCAACCCCCGGAGCGCGCCCCCGTCCACGACGGGCAACCCAACGCGCCCCGCCCAGACCTCCCCGTAGATGACGTCCACGGCGCACGGCTGCGAGAAGAACGCGGCGGCTGGCACCCCAGCGCCGCGCGCCACGCGCCCCGCCCACGGGAGGTGCGGGTCGTACACCAGCACGCGGGGCGGCCTCCCCGCGGCGGCCTCGGAGCGGAGGAGGACACCCAGGGTCTCCGAGCCCACATCCGCCAGCCGCCGGGTGTACTCCCTGGCGTCCCCGCAGGCCGCCATGCCGCCGGAGTCGAAGCCGTCGGAGATGGCGGCGACGCGGAAGGGGGCGAGAGGGGGCGGGACGGTGGAGAGAACGTGGCGGGTGGTGACGAGCGTGGGGAGGAAGCCGTGGTGCGCCGCGAGGTGGCGGCCGAACTGCAGGATCGGGTTGACGTGGCCTTGCGCCTCGGGGAAAGCGAGGAGGAAGACATGGCCGCCGGCGCCGCCGCCGCCGTCTTGGGTGGAGGAGGTGGTGGTGGCCGGTGCGTTCTCCATCTCGGCTGTTTCGTTTTTTCTTCTCTGTGTCGCCCGGGAGGCCGGGACATGGAGGAGCATAGTCCAAGACTAGTCCATCCTACCATTTTTGGTTTTTTCTTCTAGCAAATTATTTTACAAAATTATGGCTATGATTAGTTCTCTTCAAACTTCCAACTTTTCCGTCACATCAAATATTTGATATTTGCATGAAGTATTAAATGTGAAAAAAAACAATTGCACAGTTTGTATGTAAATTATGAGACGAATCTTTTGAGCCTAATTACGTCATGATTTGACAATGTGGTGCTGCAGTAAACATTTATTAATGACGGATTAATTAGGCTTAATAGATTTACCTCGCAGTTTACAAGCGGAATCTATAATTTATTTTGTTATCGGTGTACATTTAATACTTCAAATGTGTGTCCGTATACTTAAAAATAAATTTTGAAATAGAACTAAACACGGCATGTGTTTTCTTTTCTGTGTTAGAAAAGACAATTTTTTAAAATAATTCTTAACATTTTTTAAATTATACCATCTCCAAAATATATATTTGACTATATTTTTCTTATTATAATATATAATAAATAAATAAATTTTTATTTTTTATAGTATTTCCTAAAACAAATATATATATATTTTTATTTAGCATAGATTCTTTTAAATGTTTAGAGAATAAAATTAGCTCGAAGTCTAGATAAAAGAAAATCTAGATTTATTTTTGATTCATAATGAAAAAAATTGTTGCAAAATTTACATTTAGATGTCAAACTAAATTTACATAATTATTATTTGTGCCATCTTCTCTAGTGTGGTTCATTATTTTTCCTTGACCCTCTAATCTTTCCCTTAATTTCTATTGGTGTGCTATGTTATGAGTTTTTAATTTTAAATTAAAATAAAAGCTCTACGTATTATTATGAAAATCATCTTAGAATTTAGCCTTTTCTTTTTTCATGCACAGTTTTTTACATACAAGTGTGCTAACCTATAGAATTAATTGTTGTAACCAATGCTAATTTAGGTTGCGTTCAATCTCTTTGTTTTGATATTTTTGACGCATGCAAAACGAGAAATCACATTAGCACATGATTAATTAAGTATCAATAATTATAAACTTGAAAATTAGGTTTATTTGATTTTTTTTAAATAACTTCTATATATAAATTTTTTGCAAAAAAATATCATTTAACAGTTTGAAAAGCTTGCTAACGGACAACGAGGAAGTTGAAGTTTGAAGTTGAGAAATAGAACTATGCCTTAATCATAGGGACTTAAAAAGTACAATGCATACTTTTTTTTTGACTAATTTTCAGATTATACCAAAATTAGGTAGTGGTTTTGCCTTTTGTTTTCTGAATTTTGTAAATCTTTCTACAGTCATATGCAGAGTGGGACTGTAGATTGCTTGGAAAGCCTTTTATATTTTCATAGTTCTATTGCTAGTTCTATTCCCTATGTATTTTTTTTTATTTTCTTTGCTCTCACACATGTGAGGCAGGCACTGGAAAGTTCCAGAAAAAATCCAGCTTTACTATTTTTCATTGATCCAATCCTACGGCTTCCTGCTTTTTTTTCTCCATCAGACGGTTCAGCTTTCGTTGCTGACGTGGATCAATTGAGTGCTATTTTTGGATTCACAGTTCACCTATAGAGATTTCTTCTGAAAAATATACCTATAGGCTCGGACATTCTCTGTATACAATTCCGTATTTTCAATAGCCCAGGATTTAGAGAACTCGGATTAATATCTGTAGCATTACTGCTATTAATTAGCATTGCTCTGTTTGTGTGCTTGGTGATGCTCTGTTCGTGTATTGGTGTTGCCAAAGGAAGCGGAGAGGAAATGGGCTCCATGACGGACAGAAGGCTGCAGAGAAGGGGAAAGAGCAAGGAAGCAGAGAAGGGGCTCTGACTTTCTCGCCTGCAAACAACACACTGCCGCTGCCTCGAGGCTGGTTGATTTTCACTAATACTCCAATCGTTAGGGCCGATGTGATACCTCTGCGTAATTATGTGCCTCCGTACCACCAAAAAATCCATTCCATTCTAAGATGGATTTAGTGGCGATAAAAAATAACTAAAATATTCTTAATTAAAAAATAGTAAAAATTATATGTAGGTAAAAAATATTGAAGGGATAAAACTTCTCGTTTTACGTGATGAGGGTAGGTAGGATAATAGAAGTTGGTTTTAGTGGGATAAAATTCAAATTATAGAAGTTGAGTTTTTTTGGGAGTAGAAATTAATCCCTATATCATTTGTTTATCATCACGTTGCCACACTTTGTCCCCCTGTTTAGTTCCCAAAATGTTTTCCCTAAAAACATCACATCTAATCTTTGGACACATGTACAAAGCACTAAATGTAGATGAAAAAAAAACTAATTGCATAGTTAGGGGGGAAATCGCGAGATGAATCTTTTGAGCCTAATTAGTCCATGATTAGTCATAAGTGCTACAGTAACCCACATGTGCAAATAGCGGATTAATTAGGCTCAAAAGATTCGTCTCGTGGTTTCCAGGCGAGTTATGAAGTTAGTTTTTTCATTCGTGTCCAAAAACCCCTTCCGACATCCGGTCAAACGTCCGATGTGACACCCAAAAAATTTTATTTCGCGAACTAAACATGCCCAAGGCTGAGTTCTTATCCCAGTTTTCCCAACTCACCTCTCTCATTTTCCACGCGCACGTTTTTCAAACTGCTAAACGGTGTGTTTTTTTTTAAAAAAAAATTATATACGAAAGTTTGTTTTAAAAAATCATATTAATCTATTTTTTTAAAAAAGTTAATACATAATTAATTGTGCAATAATACGTGCTCCGTTTTACGTACCGGGGAGGAGGGGTTCCCAACACCTCCTCCCGAAAACAGCCTAAGCCGATTTACTGGCGCCCTCTTACTTTAGGCTATAAGTTTTTTTTTGAGAGGCTTTAGGCTATAAGTTGAAAAATCAAAACCAACAGATATTTTTTTTTGTTTGGCTTTTATAAAGCTGTCACTCCTAGGCTGTCTTTGGTATTAAGGGATGGAAACTAATCCCTTCCGTATGAAAAAAATCCCTTCCATATAAAAAACGGAGTGATCTATTAACGTGTGATTAATTAAGTATTACCTACCGTACTTTTTTTTTAAAAAAAGGATCAATATAATTTTTTAAGCAACTTTCGTATATAATTTTTTTTCAAAAAACACACCGTTTAACAATTTGAAAAACGTATAAGCGAAAAATAAGGAGAGTGGGTTTCCAACTCTAGGTGCCAAACGCAACCTTACACTGTTGAGCAAAAAGTTGGGTTGAACTAGTTTTTTTTTTCTTATGTGAAATGGAGATAAGATTTTACCATTAAACTTAAGCCTTAAAATCCTTTAACTTATTAACAAAAAACAAAAAGTCGTCTTAAAAGCCTAACCCCAAATAAAGAGGATCGGTTCTTTAAGCTAACCTTTTTAGCTTTTATATAGTTCTATTTTGCTTTTATTTTATGTAGTAGTTAATAAGCTTGTGCCCTTTTTTAAGGAAATTCTGTGGCTTTCAAGTCTCGAGGGTAAGGTGAAGTCCTATCCGTAATTCACAAAATTGAAAGGACTACTCGAACCTGGATTAAATTTTGGCTTAGTATAGCTAAAAGAAAAGTACGACGAACAAACTGACTATTTGTTGGGGCTTAAACTTTTTCGTTTAGCTCATGAGCCCCAAAAAAGGCCCATCTGCGATTCACATATGAAAAGCTACTCAAATATGGCTGTTGATTTTAATAGTGCAGGAGTGGTTTATAGCTTTAAATATAACGAACCAAAATGTTGATACAACACGTGCAACATTACCCTTTACTTGCAAATCAAGTCCAATTCATGTTTCATGCCACGTTCGCCGTGCCGATTCCCGACACGGCGACACCCCCTGAAACAGTGTACACCGCAAATTTGGACCATGGAGAGAGCAATCTTGGCCGTCACTCCACTGCACTCCTATTTATCCATTAACAATCCTTGTGATGCAAAACACACACACCAGCCGCCGCATGGCAGTACCAGAAACCAACACAAAACAAGATCATGGGGAGCATGAGCACACCGGCGGCGAGCGCCAACGGCGGGCAAGTGCTCCTGTTGCCGTTCCCGGCGGCGCAGGGCCACACCAACCCGATGCTCCAGTTCGGGCGCCGCCTCGCGTACCACGGCCTCCGCCCCACCCTCGTCACCACGCGGTACGTGCTCTCCACCACGCCGCCGCCGGGGGACCCCTTCCGCGTCGCCGCCATCTCCGACGGCTTCGACGACGCCAGCGGCATGGCCGCGCTCCCGGACCCCGGGGAGTACCTCCGCACCCTGGAGGCTCACGGTGCACGCACGCTGGCGGAGCTCCTCCTCTCCGAGGCGCGCGCGGGGCGGCCGGCGCGCGTGCTGGTGTACGACCCGCACCTGCCGTGGGCGCGCCGCGTGGCGCGCGCCGCCGGCGTGGCCACCGCTGCGTTCCTGTCGCAGCCGTGCGCCGTCGACCTCATCTACGGGGAGGTGTGCGCGCGGCGGCTGGCGCTGCCGGTGACGCCGACGGACGCGAGAGGTCTGTACGCGCGGGGTGTGCTTGGCGTCGAGCTGGGGCCCGACGACGTGCCGCCGTTCGTTGCGGCGCCAGAGTTGACACCAGCCTTCTGTGAGCAGTCGATCGAGCAGTTCGCCGGACTGGAGGACGACGACGACGTGCTCGTCAACTCATTCTCTGACCTCGAGCCAAAGGTATAGCTGCGTTCCTTTCACTGGCTTGGGAACTCATTTCCTCTGCACGAAAAACGGAATGATCCATTAGCACACGATTAATTAAGTAGTAGCTAATATTTTTTCACAAATGGATTAATATGGTTCTTTTAAGCACGTTCGTATAGAAACTTTCTAAAAAAACATTTTAAAAAGCGTGCGTGTGGAACACGAGAGATAGGGGTTGGGAACAAAGAGCAACGAATAGTTTAGTTCGTTTCTAGGTGTTCCCAACTCTCCCCTCTCGTTTTCCGCGCGCACGCTTTTTAGACGGTTAAATGGTATGTTTTTGCAAAAAGTTTCGATACGAAAGTTGCTTAAAAATCATCTTAATCCATTTTTGAAAAAAACAATTAACTAATACTCCCTTCGTTTCACAATGTAAGACTTTCTAATATTGTCTACATTCATATATATATATATATATATATATATATATATATATATATATATATATATATATATATATATATATATATATATATATGTTACTGAATCTAGACAAATAACACATATATTTGTCTAGATTCATTAACATCTATATGAATATGGGCAAATGCTAGAAATTCTTACATTATGAAACGGATGAAGTACTTAATTAGTCACGTGCTAATGGATCGCTCCGTTTTCCGTGCGGGAGGGATCAGTTCCCATCCTCCTAAAATGAAGAAGTGTGCTTCCATCCAAACATACTCCATTAGTTTCATATTATAAATCGTTTGACTTTTTTCTAGTCAAACTTTGTTAAATTTGATATAGCTCGTACAAAATTATCAACATATAAATATCAAATAGTTTCATTAACTCTAACATTAAATATATTTTGATAATATGTTTGTTTTGTGTTGAAATTACTTTTATATTTTTCTATAAACTCGAACAAACTTAAATAAATCTGACTAGAATAAAGTTAAACAACTTATAATATGAAACGGAGCGATTACCATAGATGATCATTGTATTGCAAAATTGTTACACATTTTTCTTGGGAAATTAAAATGAGCAGGAGGCAGCATACATGGAGTCGACATGGCGCGCGAAGACGATCGGCCCGTCATTGCCTTCGTTCTACCTCGACGACGGCCGGCTGCGGTCGAACACAGCATACGGGTTCAATCTCTTCAGGAGCACCGTGCCATGCATGGAATGGCTGGACAAGCAACCTCCTCGCTCTGTCGTCCTTGTGTCGTACGGGACAGTCTCCACCTTCGACGTAGCCAAGCTGGAGGAGCTCGGCAATGGCCTTTGCAACTCCGGCAAGCCATTCCTTTGGGTTGTCAGGTCCAATGAGGAGCACAAGTTATCTGTCCAACTCCGAAAAAAGTGTGAGAAGAGAGGACTAATTGTTCCCTTTTGCCCCCAGCTGGAGGTGCTTGCTCACAAGGCCACAGGTATTGGAACTAACCAAGAACTCAAATTATATTAATCTTGATAACAAAAAGTATACAAAAGACTAGTGAATAAGTAGTAGACAACAATAGCTAAATGCAAGTTTTTTTTTACCTGGCACCAAATATTTATATGTAGGTTGTTTCTTGTCGCACTGTGGATGGAACTCGACATTGGAGGCAATTGTTAATGGCGTACCGCTTGTGGCAATGCCACATTGGGCTGACCAACCAACCATTTCAAAGTATGTGGAGAGCTTGTGGGGCATGGGCGTGCGAGTGCAGCTGGACAAGAGCGGCATCTTACAAAGGGAAGAGGTAGAGAGATGCATCCGGGAGGTGATGGATGGTGACAGGAAGGAGGACTACAGGAGGAATGCTACAAGGTTGATGAAGAAAGCTAAGGAGTCAATGCAGGAAGGAGGGAGCTCTGACAAGAATATTGCTGAATTTGCTGCGAAGTATTCAAATTGACAAAAATTATTGCTGAAATCTCAAGCACCTAGCTATCAGAGATATTCTAGTTCTGACTTCTGAATACAATTGGTTTTTCTTCCTAGAGAAGTTCATGGAGGTCAAGGTGCTGATGTTTTCCACGAGTCAGCAGAAGTAAATTAAGTTTACAGTGTGTGTAAAATGGTAATTTATACTACTTACAATTTTTATTTTATAATTGAAGTGTCGTTAACTTATGTCCTCGTCGAGGGCAACAAGCTACCTTAGAGATATCACGATAACAAATGAATTATGTAAGCTTTACATACTTTGAGAGTACCGGGCATAGCTTGCTTACCAAATTACAGAACATATATATGTGCATGCATCAATTTCCTCTGATACCGGAAAAACTGTTATTTATCCTCTCCTCTCAATTCTTTCTACTAAAATTCGGCATTACAACAATATATCTCTCTTATTAATTACAAGTTTCTATAGTATATAAAGCAAAAAAAAAAATAAAGCGCAATGAAAAACTCAAGTAAATAATATGGTTAAAAAGGATGAGACTTCAATCCTCCATATCTTCCCTATCGCACAAAACCATCAACCAGAGCACTACCAGTTTATTTAAAACTGTTACTGAAATTAATATCATTCTCAGTTTAATATAACAATACTAATATACTATTCCAGGTGGTTTATTATATGGTTTAGTTAAGATGAAATTCACTGTGGGAGTTCACTTAGATATATATATTTTTAGAAAATCATGAGCTGCAGTTAGGAGTCCGATTGTCTCAAGTTAGCATGCGATTTTTTTTAAACAAATTTCTTATATGATTCCTTCTATATTACCAAAAGTGAACGGTCTTAAAAACCGACTCAAATACGGATATGTATTTTCAAAAGCAAACGAACTTAAAAACTGACTCTTACACGGATGACGTAAAAAAAACCGATAAAAATATTTTCAATTTTTATAATAGAGATAGTGATTGTCCACTGGTCGGCCCAAGCACACCTCTAAGAGCAATTGTTTTGTTTGACAGAAGGACTTCAAGGGCAGGAATCCCGGTGAGCAACTTCTCTTCGACCACGCGAACACCTATCCATTCTGTGAGGCTGTGATAGTCATAGTCCCTGGACAAAGCGAGTCTCCATTTCGCCTACAAACTTGTCGTCGTCAAGCGCGCCAGCACAACCAAAATTAACTTGCGCGCCACTCTGCCTCTCAACCCTTCAAACACCTAGTATAAAGCTCATCGTCGCCGCGAGCGAGCTTGCTACCTCCAAGTCAAATCACCAAGTGATTCGAACCCATGGCGAGCATGAATGATCAACACGGCGGCGCCACCGCCCACGTCCTGCTCGTGCCGTTGCCGGCGCAGGGCCACATGAACCCGATGCTCCAGTTCGGCCGCCGCCTCGCCTACCACGGCCTCCGCCCCACCCTCGTCGCCACCCGCTACGTGCTCTCCACGAGCCCTCCTCCCGGCGACCCCTTCCGCGTCGCCGCCTTCTCCGACGGCTTCGACGCCGGCGGCATGGCCTCCTGCCCCGACCCCGTCGAGTACTGCCGCCGCCTCGAGGCCGTCGGGTCGGAGACGCTGGCGCGGGTCATCGACGCCGAGGCGCGCGTGGGGAGGGCCGCGACCGTGCTCGTCTACGACCCCCACATGGCGTGGGTGCCGCGCGTGGCGCGCGCCGCCGGCGTCCCCACGGCCGCGTTCCTGTCGCAGCCGTGCGCCGTGGACGCGATCTACGGCGAGGTGTGGGCCGGCCGCGTTCCGCTGCCGATGGACGACGGGGGCGACCTCCGGCGGCGCGGGGTGCTCAGCGTCGACCTCGCGACGGCGGACTTGCCGCCATTCGTGGCGGCGCCGGAGCTGTACCCGAAATACCTCGACGTCTCGATCCGGCAATTCGAGGACCTGCTCGACGCCGACGACGTGTTCGTCAACTCGTTCAACGACCTCGAGCCGATGGAGGCCGAGCACATGGAGTCGACATGGCGAGCCAAGACCGTCGGCCCGACGTTGCCGTCCTTCTTCCTCGACGACGGCCGGCTGCCGGCGAACAAGAACCACGGCATCGACATCTTCACCGGTGATGCGCCGTGCATGGAATGGCTGGATAAGCAGGCACCCTGCTCGGTTGTTCTTGCCTCCTATGGCACGGTCTACTCTCTCGACGGCGCCGAGCTCGAGGAGCTCGGCAATGGCCTCTGCAATTCCGGCAAGCCATTCCTCTGGGTGGTGAGGTCGAGCGAGGGGCACAAGTTATCTGAAGAGCTTCGTGGAAAGTGCAAGGAGAAGGGGTTAATTGTGTCCTGGTGTCCCCAGCTTGAGGTCCTGAAACATAAGGCAACAGGTATGAATTGCTAATTAAAATGTCAATTACAAAGATAAAAATGTTTTTTTAATGATGTACTTCCTCCGTTTCATATTATAAAACTTTCTAACATTATCCACACTCATATATATGTGTTTAGATTCATTAATATCTATATAAATGTCGACAATGCTAGAAAGTCTTATAATATGAAACGGAGGGAGTAATAAGTAAAGGTACCACACCTTGCAGTGTTAATTGGTACCCTACGACAAATCATGAGTTAGAAATAGGGTCGAGTTAATACTTTCTCTATTTTGAATATACAGACACTGGTAAAAGTACTCCATCCGTCCATAAATATTTGACGTATTTGACTTTTTTAAATATGTTTGACCGCTCGTGTTATTCAAAAACTTTTATGAAATATATAAAACTATATGTATACATAAAAGTATATTTAACAATAAATCAAACGATAGAAAAAGAGTTAATAATTATTTAATTTTTTAATAAGACGAATGGTCAAACATATTTAAAAAAGTCAACGGCATTAAATATTTATGGACGAAGGGAGTATTATTTATTTTATTATGACTTATCCTCTAATGGTAACTTACATTTTTTTATATTTATGCAATATTTCTAAATAAGATAAATCATTAAACTTATATCGAAAAGTTGATAGGATCATATATTTAAAAATAGTTGTATTATGTTTGCAATATTTGATTAAACCTCTGCCACACAAATTTTTTCTGTGCAGGTTGTTTCTTGACGCATTGTGGATGGAACTCGACGATGGAAGCAATTGCTACGGCGGTGCCAATGGTTGCGATGCCTCAGTCAGCGGACCAACCGACTATAGCGAAGTACGTGGAAACCGCATGGGAGATTGGTGTGAGGGCACAACTAGATGAGAAAGGCTCTGTCACGAAGGAGGAGGTGGAGATATCCATCAAGAAAGTGATGGATGGGAAGAGGGCAGTGGAGTACAAGAGGAATGCAGCTAAGTGGATGCAAAAAGCCAAGGAAGCAGCACAAGTAGGCGGGAGCTCAGACAAGAACATTGCTGAATTTGTAGCAAAATATTTATCAAATTAGTATAGCTTTGTATACATCTGGTTTCTTCATGTAAGGATCTTGTAACACCAGCATGTAAAAAAAAATTAAATAGCAGACGACAAGATGGAGTTAGTTTTAATGTGTCTACAAAGATTTTGGTAGTATAAAACTAAATGAGTGGAAATTTGGTGGTATGAGACAAATTTTCCCTTCCCAAAGACCACTAAAAATATAAAAATATAAAGTAATTAAACGAGAAATCATCAGTCTACAGATGGTTTGCGAGTTCTACGGAAAATTAAAACTCAATCGGAGATGGATTTTCATCTGTCTAGGAGATATTAGCTCGTTTCTTGCATGTCAGCATGTCACTTAAATAGTTTAAATTTTTTAAAAAGTAATAAGGTAGGTTAATATAAAATATATCATTTCATAAAGCATGTTATGTAAAATTCGACTTCCACAAGTTATAAAAAATAACAAATTAAACAGAAACTTGTTTTCGTACCTTCATAGTTATGTTTGTTATATTTTTTTTATCTAAATTCGTATTTGTATAGTGATATATCACATATTAATCTATATTTATTAATGTTTTGATAACTTAGGTAATAAGTAATTCAAGAAACAGGGAATTTTCCCTCGACGGAAGAAAATCGTTCCCACTACAATCTTCTGAAACATATACCTACAGGCTCGAACATTTTCTGTACGCAATTCCGTGCGTTCCATAGCACAAAATTTGTATTGTTTAGATTAACATGTGTAGCATTACCGCTGTCAATTAGCATTGTTCTGTCTCTGTGCTCTGTTCTTGCATGTATCGGTGTTGCCAAAGGAAGCAGAGTGGAAGGGGGTCGCCGTGAGCCCGTGACTGGAGGGGAAAGGGAAAGAGAAATTTTCTTTCACACCCCTAATTTTTTAGTCGATGCTTTCTATGTCCCTAAATTTTCTTCATTCCCTTTATGTTTCTCAATTTTGATTTGCATCTTTTCCATAACATTGCCGAATTGGCCATTAGTTCGTTTAATAGGTGTGGAGAAGTCTGTTTTACCATTCAATATGTGAGTAATATATAGAAATTTATCGACTATATTGATTTGGATCGATGTTGAAGTATTGTTGCACTTTGTCTATATTATTCATCGAACTTTATCATATCATTAATCATCATATAATGGTGTTATGTGGAGTGTGATGATGTAAGAATGAAGTTATAGAGTTATATTCATGCATAGTTAAATGTGTAATTATGCCACACACGGTTGTTTTTCATATGAAGTTCCGATCAATATTAGTAGATTCCATTTCAATAGTCCCGTTTCCGATTTACCGACGTTACCGATATCGTTACCGTTTTCGGGTCTACAGTTCCGATTCCGTTTTCGAGAAAAAAAATATGAAAATAAAAATGCCAAATGGTTTTAATTTCCAACCTTTTCCGACCGTTTTCATCCTAGATACGTGTCTACATCCACGGGTTTTGTAGAGAGCCAAAAACAAACGTGTGATACAACACGTGCAACATGTCCTTTACTTGCAAATCAAGTCCAATTCCTGTTTCATGCCAGGTTCGCTGTCCCGGGCCGACACATCCCTGAAACAGTCCACCGCAAATTCTGACCCATACAGAAAGCAATCTTGGGCGCCACTCCTACTTATCCGTCTCGATCAAACACACTCACATCAGCCAGCCAGCAGTAGGCCCAGCACACACCCACAGTCCTCTATCACATCATGGGGAGCATGAGCACACCGCCACCGGCGGCGGTCACGGTGGCGAACGTCCAACGTCGGCGACGATAACCATGGCGGCGGGCGGGTGCTCCTGTTGCCGTTCCCGGCGGCGCAGGGCCACACCAACCCGATGCTCCAGTTCGGGCGCCGCCTCGCGTACCACGGCCTCCGCCCCACCCTCGTCACCACGCGGTACGTGCTCTCCACCACGCCGCCACCGGGGGACCCCTTCCGCGTGGCCGCCATCTCCGACGGCTTCGACGACGACGCCGGCTGCATGGCCGCGCCCCCGGACTACGGGGAGTACCACCGCAGCCTTGAGGCTCACGGTGCACGGACGCTGGCGGAGCTGCTCGTCTCCGAGGCCCGTGCGGGGCGGCCGGCGCGCGTGCTGGTGTACGACCCGCACCTGCCGTGGGCGCGCCGCGTGGCGCGCGACGACGGCGTGGGCGCCGCCGCGTTCATGCCGCAGCCCTGCGCCGTCGACCTCATCTACGGGGAGGTGTGCGCCGGGCGCCTCGCGCTGCCGGTGACGCCGGCGGACGTGAGCGGCCTGTACACGCGGGGCGCGCTCGGCGTCGAGCTCGGGCACGACGACCTGCCACCGTTCGTCGCGACGCCAGAGCTGACACCGGCGTTCTGTGAGCAGTCGGTGGCGCAGTTCGCCGGGCTGGAGGACGCCGACGACGTGCTCGTCAACTCCTTCTCCGACCTCGAGCCAAAGGTAATCTAGTGTATCCAGCTTACATTGCAACAAACAAGATCATTTCGTCCCAAAATTGTTACACATTTTGGCTGTGAAATGAGCAGGAGGCAGCATACATGGAGGCGACATGGCGCGCGAAGACGGTCGGCCCGTTGTTGCCGTCGTTCTATATCGGCGACGGCCCGCTGCCGTCGAACACGGCGTACGGGTTCAACCTCTTCACGAGCACCGTGCCGTGCATGGAATGGCTGGACAAGCAGCCTCCTCGCTCTGTCGTGTTTGTGTCGTATGGGACTTTCTCCAGCTACGACGCAGCCAAGCTCGAGGAGGTCGGCAATGGCCTTTGCAATTCAGGCAAGCCATTCCTTTGGGTTGTGAGGTCCAATGAGGAGCACAAGTTATCTCGAGAACTTCGAGAGAAGTGTGGGAAGAGAGGACTAATTGTTCCCTTTTGTCCCCAGCTGGAGGTGCTTGCTCACAAGGCCACAGGTATGGGAACCAACAAAAACTCAAATTAATTATTTTGACAACAAAATAATTTTCTTCCAGGTTGAAAATAATTGTCATTTTTATAAGACAGATGTGAAACTTTAAAAATTTGACTATAAATAACATGTAAAATGTTTTTTAGAAATATGCAAACCATATGTATAATTAATCTAAAAAGTACTTCAATTCAATAAAATCATATATTTATTGGTGTTTATATATATATGGTAATAGAAAATATTGGTCAAAGTTATTTTTTTTTAGCCTGGAGGGAGTGTATAGTAGACTAGTGAATGAGTACTAGACAACAATAGCTCAATTGAAGTCGTTTTCAATTAGAATAAAATATGTTATGTATAGGTTGTTTTTTATCGCACTGTGGATGGAACTCGACGTTGGAGGCAATTGTTAATGGTGTACCGCTAGTGGCAATGCCATATTGGGCTGACCAACCAACCATATCAAAGTATATGGAGAGCTTGTGGGGCATGGGTGTCAGAGTGTGGCAGGAAAAGAGTGGCGGCATACAAAGGGAAGAAGTTGAGAGGTGCATTCGGGAGGTGATGGATGGGGATAGGAAGGAGGACTATAGGAGGAGTGCTGCAAGGTTTTTTTTTTTTGAGATAATGCAGCTTCTCATAGATTAATTAAGATCAGACAGCAGTACCTCCCGAAGAGTCTCCGGGATTACAGTACGGTAGGTATTACAAACTGTTTGCTCAGAACATTGAGCTAAAAGGTGAGCCGCAGCATTAGTTACACGATTAACATGAATGAAAGAGCAGTCCAAAAAACCAGCCGCCAGGAAGTTTATGTCAGAGACAAGAGCGCCAACCATTGACCGGTCGCGTGTTCCAGACTGAATCTTTTGGATGATAGCTAGGCAGTCTAAAGCCAAAACAATTTTCTGGTGACCCTCCTCCATCGCCGTGCGCAACGCACAGCGAATAGCCAAAGCTTCTGCCATTTCAGGTTGGATACACCCCGAGTGTCGCTCATTAGCAGCGAACAAGCACAGCCCGCTGTGATCCAGAAATAGAAACCCCAACCCAAACGAATTGACTGACTGGAAGACAGCAGCATCTGTATTAATAAGAATCGTACCTTCAGGCGGAGGCCTCCATCTGGGCACTGGCCGAAGAGCATCACCCCTAACCGCTTGCACAGCACGGCAACAGTGTTGTTCAATCATCTCGACATAAGCCAAGATTTTCTGGATGACCTGTCTTGGATTTGCTAAGGTAGGATTATTCCTGGAATGATTTCTAGCCTCCCATATATGCTACAACGTGATAGCCAGTGCCGTCTTTTGGATGCCTGAACTTCTCCCCAGGAAATCAAAAACCCACTGCTTCATATTTGACAGCTCAGTCATGCATAGCTTCAAATCAAAATGTTGCTTAGTGCCATCCCAAACACATACAGCAAAAGGGCAAAGGAGAAAGATGTGTTCGATTCTGTCATCCCTTTCGCAAAAGCAACAGCCATCAGTAGCAGGGATATGCCGCCTTCTCAGCTGGAAACCTGAAGGCAAGCAGTCATGCACAATTTTCCAAAGATTGATTAACATTTTCCCTGGGGCATTGATTCTCCAAAGTTCCTTCCATCTGTTTGCACTCTCTTGTAAACCCGACGACATTCCCCTGCCATTTTCACTTTGCGCAGCCATAAAGATTTCTGATCTTGCAAGGTTGTAAGCTGAACGCACCGAGAAAACCCCTCTTTTGTCGTGTGGCTAGGAAATGAAATCCTCTCCTCCATGTGCACTAACAGGAATTTGTAGGATCTGTTGGGCAGTAGTTTCGTCAAAGAAAGAGAACACCTTATCCTCATCCCACTCCCCAATCGCATCATTGACTAAGAAGTCCACCGTGACATCCTCAGGCAAAGGGAGGAGAGGTCTCACCATCGAAGGTTTGATTCCTGGTATCCAATGATCCTTGAGGATTTTTACCGAAGAGCCATTCCCAATGCCCCACCTCACACCTTTCCTAAGCAAATCCCTTCCAAAGAGAATACTGGGCCAGGTGAAGGAAGTGGCAGTGGGTTTGGGAGCATTCCAGAGATCAGAGTTCGGGAAGTACCTTCCTTTGAGAACCCTAGCACAGAGCGAAACAAGATCAGTCACGATTCTCCAACCCTGTCTAGCAAGCATAGCTTGGTTGAAAAGGCCCAGGTCTCTGAAACCCATCCCCCCCAGAGATTTCGGCGTCGTCATCCACTCCCAGGAACGCCAATGCATTTTCTTCTTCCCGTCCTCGAAGCCCCACC